AGCCTCCCGTTATAATACGCTTAGGTTTTCGTAAGCACGCAACAATTCAAAAGTAAGGAGGGAAGTGCCTTTTCCAATTCAGAGGGGGGGTAACTTATTTCTTGAGGGCCGAAATTCCCGATAAACTATCTCCACTTCCTAATATTCACGTATAACCGTGCTTGTTGCTTCAAGTTGCTGAGAAGCTGCAAGGTCTGATTCCCTACTAGATGCAGCCGGCTTGGAAACACAGTCAAAACATCAACAGCATATTCCTGTAAAGCGACATCACCGTAATCCCCTGCATAAAATCATGAAAAATCAATGTCGTTAGCAAAGGCTATTATTGCCCCTCTGCACATATAATAGTGGCAACGATTTGCGCCTTGTGCAAACCTAATTTAAGTGCGTATCCAAAGGCAAAGTTTTGTAACCACATGGCAGCAAAAGAAGGAGTGTGCTGGTTGACACCACCTGCGAACTTTTCGTCAGGATTAGATAAAATCGGGTCGTAAAGCTATAATAAAACATGCCGTTACGACTCACTAGTGTTGATTTGAAAATATAAAGAAGCCTTGATAATGGGCCACTCTGCGCTCACCTCTGCATACAGTGTCTGATTTACCGGTTCGCTGACTGGCTGCTGGGAATGGTATGACAGTGCCTCAGTTGAAATAGTTAAGCAATGAACTGTCTCCTCAATTGCAGCATGAAACGCGGGCCCGCAACACTATTGGTTAGTAATGAGATCCTTTCCCTCAAGTCAGGTATAAAACCAGATTGTGCGCAAAAGATTACCGCATAAGTCTATCCAGAATGGTACTAATTCAAGCATATAGTATTTTTCCCAAAAGACTCCAAGAGGTGGTAAGATTTTACACAAAACCCGCTTTTGAATCTGCTAGTAAATGAAATTAATGCAACCAACAGGCCCATAATTAACGTAATTGTGCATGTCAAGCAATCTCTTTAGGAGCTGACAGATATTAAAAAGGCTCGACTAAATGCCCAAAAATCAGAGGGGATAAAAGGTTCAGACATATATGTAGAATTATCAAAAACCTGGGGCCTTCCGTACGGTGGATTGGTCTTGCTCCGGTTGTAACTTGTCTCACAACACTAAGAAATACAGGCGTATGACAACTGTCCTTCCGTTTTTTTTAAAAAAATAATAAAAAAGTAGAAAACATTTATGTATTGGGTAGGCTGACGGTTCCGTGTGAGGCTCACGGCTAACGTCGGCGTGCAAGGAGTTGCCACCTGCGTCTCAGTGGGGTCAGGCCACCCATAGTCGGCTTCATCATCCAAACATAGCACACACGTTCTTCTCTCATGTCATTTAGAGCGATCATATGCACAAGATGCTGGCAACTTATCATTTCTTGATTACAATCAGTCACAGCTAGCACGTAATGGACGGTTTTTTTCGCCATGCACCATTCGTTTTCTGGAGTTGACAGCAGGGACTCGGCGGCCGGTGATCCTTAGTCTTACTTTCCTGTTAGATTGACGTAGTAAGCTTCAGTTAAGCTACGATTCTTATCAATCACCTGGGAAGCTGTTGCTTTTATCTTGTCTACTGTCACTGTTCACATTAGCCCTTTTTTCTGCACAACAAGGAACCTATGCCATGATGTTTCTGTAAGCTCTTTCTCAATTAGTCCAGCAACTAGCCTCCCTGCTAGCCACCTCGACGACAAAGTTTTCACCTTCCTAAAACTAGGCACCTACTCTGGCCCAACTAGTATTGGGCTTCTGGATCAGCTAAACATGTTCACATTTCTTGGGTCCATTTTGCTTGCTGTCATCCCCTTTAGGATTTTTTTCCATTGACACCGCTGTATCTTATGCCTCCCACGCTACTGCTTTATTTATATTTCTTTCTCATCGTCCCTCTTCCCAAGTTTCAATCCTCGACTGCAATTGCTCAAACGCCCCTGAGAACTGTTATTCATTCAAACTGGTTGGTGCCCGGTCTACACTCACACGGTCCTCCAACGAAAGGGAAATTATCCATGAGCCTACATCTGCATGACTCCGTGTGTTAATTTCCGTCTCACCCAGAACCAGCTGCCACGGAACTGTGTATCCCTTCTCCGATCGCGGGACCCTTGATAACCGCTACGGGGCTGTCCACAAACTGAAGCATGTCAGTGTGATGATGGCATGGCACTGTCATAACAAGTCAGATGGCTCTCCCGCAACTATATTCTCCAGAATCTCGACCGCTTCCCCTCGCCCGCCCAAGTTTGTAGTCACAACTGCGAGCAAATTTTTCATTCGGCCCCGTCTCTGGGATGAGCCCTTCCGTACCCGATGAATTTTCACTCAGATATGGCTAGCCTGGTTTTTCTGCTGCAATTTCGGCTTGCCTTCGCCACAATTTCAAACCCGTATGCGGGTTGCCCCATGTATTAGCGACTTGCCCCCATCCAACATTTCCCCTGCATGTGAGTTCCCTACAACCGTGCAACCGGTGAGTCTGCTAACTCTCAGATTAAACCACATTTTTGAGACAAAACTCGCAATGTGCTCCCAATTTGAATTATTCCATCTCCATCTCCATTTTTGCCTGTTTTGACCCCGGCCATTTACCTAACCTCCCAAGGTCACACATGGCCAGCAATGGTTTTCATCTTTAGTTCATGCCAGTTGGCCATGTTTTTTAACTAGTCTGGCCTCATGCCCATTGTTACCAACAGGTAGGGAGAGAAACTTATTATTACTATTTTATCGGATATTCCCCACTGGTTATGACATTGCCTCTTCTTGTGCAATCCGCACCCCCACAACCCCCCAATGTGCTCCATTCTGACCGTAAACATACGATCATGCCAGACGGTATGCCACCCACAAGTTGCGAATAAACATTATTATTATTATGTGATTGGATGATTCATCACGAAGCGCCTCATATTCCGCTTCGTCCATGCAGAATTCTAATCACGCATACATCAGATCTAATACAAATAGTCGTTTAATAATCATGAAAAACGGCCAAATTTGAGTGTGCCATCAAAGGACTTTTTTCACCTTGCTCATATTGTTTTATAAAGCGCTAAGGGTTCAGGTCATTCCGACTAAAAACACGTTGGCCCTCACATGTAAAAAATCCGAAGACTAGAGTTGGTGAATCATCCCACGGGAGCTCCACTGAGAACAGGGAGTGACCAGAAATGTACAGCTACATAGTGTTACTTAATTATCTTCCACGGAAAATCTTCTCAAAATCCATCAGCTTTGCCTGCTGACCTGATTGCCCCACGAAAAAGTACTGACATGTTCACCTTACAGGACCTGCTGGATGCCAAAGAAATGTGTTATATGCAGAAAGTTAGCGAGTAACGAAATGACGATAAGTGAGGCTTGCCTAATGGCAAGTAACTAGGTGCACTTTGACCGCAATGTGCACAATCTTAGCATGGCGGAACGAGGAACAAAATCCAGGAAATTTGCTCTCCGCAGAGGAGTGTAGCCGTGAACTTCTGCGTCAGACAAACTTTCATCGCGTTTAAGCCTGATAAACTGCACCCAAGATTCTTGAAGTAACGATCGCTCCGTGAGAAAGTGGGATTACCGCACACTTCCGCGAAGGTTCTATCGAAGTCCTTTATACCTCCCATTTAGGATAACTCCTGTAACGTGCCCACGACAACAAACTCCGGGATGAAACTTCAAGCCCACGTCCACGCTTCTTTGATGACCGGAAGTATCAGAGTTCCTAAGTTAGTGTCCCCTAAATGCGTGTCAGTGCCGCAGAACAGTGGGCACTGCACGGAACCTTTTCTCCGAGTTACAAAATGTGCTACCGCACGCTGTTCACAGAAGACCCTGCAAACCCCTCTGTTGCGCACGTGAAGAATGGGCCATTAGATAAAACAGAGGGTGCTATAAAGTATTAGAAAATCTAGCCCTATTAAAGCATGATTTTGTCACTCACTCCTCGAAAAGGACAACCAATTTTTACCGGGGCTCGAGGGGCGCAACTCTTGCTGAGCCTCTCCAACGAAGTGGCACAAAAATTATTAGCCAACTTACGCGTCGACTGTTAAATGTGTATTTACTTAGCGTAACTCCTCCCCTAAACCATCCACACTTCCATTGGAATCTGTTACTCGCATCCTCCTTGAACAAGGTAAGGCGGATGTTTTTTCCACCATTGACCAGACCAGTCCGCGCGGTGGCATCGCAGTGAGGATTTCAAGATCGAGCGAACATATTTTTTAGGTAGCAGTTCTTCTCATGTCGGGTTGTTGCTGTGCTTAATGACCCTCCTCCGAAAGTTACCCGTGCGGCACCTGGGACCAAATCATTTCTACATGCTCTTTTATGTGAGTCCTCACACTGGCAACCTCAATGTTCAAAGTTAAGAACACAAAAAGCGACGGTGCACCGTTTTCGCCTGCACCTTTCAGACAGTCGGCGGTCGCTAAACATAAGCCGGAAAGTTTGGACAGAAGCGTTGACCTCGCGCACCAATCTGTGAATCTGTGATTCTCCTTCCACATGAGTTCGCAAGAATCTCGTAGGAACATTTTCAAGCTCAGAGATCACACTTTCATCGGGCGAAATTTTTCTCATTTCGAGTAGTTGCTGCGTGGGATTACTTTCCTCGCTCCATTTAGAACTCAAAGGACTATTAGACAGTTTTTGTGCGAGTCCTCGCGCTGGCGAGCTTAACACTCCGTGCTGATAACTTAATGGGGAGTACTGTACCTCTTTTTCGCTTGTGCGTTCCAGGCGAACGGTAGCCGATGAACGAAAAGAACAAAACCCACCATGGAAACTTGGGCGAAAGCTTCGATCCTGTGTACGAATCCGTGAATCCATGACATTACTTGGAACCCTTGAAAGTCACCAGATGCGCAACTATTTGGGTGTTTAAACAGACCGCAACTTAATCTGTTAGTGAAAAACAGCGAGAATTTCATAGTTAACCTGTCGAGCTGACTTGGGTTCACCCGGGAGCCATCATTTGGTTTGTTTTAATTGGCGTTTGTCCTAAGAACGGATTTGATTTTGCCCGTTTTGCTTTGCCCGTCGAAAAATGGTAGATGGGTGGCATTTTTCCTCATCCGTACAGTCACTGTCGAGTAAACTCCAATACAATAATCGTGTTTAGCTTGTGTGCGACCGGATTATTTTTCGGAAATGCTCTGTTACGCACCAGGCGCGACCGACACTACTGTTCAAATTGAGGACTGCATGGAATCGACTGCTCATCTGGGATTTGCAGCCCGGAATTGCTCCATAGGGCTCCACGGTGCTTCAAGGGATTCTCGCAGATCAGCCCATGATACTGATGTATCTGGACAATGTGATCAGAAGCCAAGGCATGGTGTACTACGTAATGCGCAGATTAAAAAGCGGAATGTCAGCTTTTCTGGTGTGACGGTTTATTCCTTTGCGAGGGAGCAAGGTTTCTCCTCGGTTCCAGACACGGGGTGGTGTTCCCTAGGAATGGCACGGCAACACTTCTGTGTCTCCCGATATGATGTTCATCACCATCAACTTCTTTTGCGCTTAAGACGGAAGCGATTGCGAATGCTTGCACAGAGGTCGCGCGCAATGGGTGGTGGAACTTCTCTTTCTGCGCGTTTGCGTAAGAATAATCCACCTGCATGTAAAAGTAACCGATTCGAGGAGACTAGATTGAATCCGGGTGACTCATGCAGGATTCCTAATTTTCCTTCTCCTCCACCGCTATCGCCTCAGTTTTTCAACGATCGCCCAACCACATGTGATGTCACGCCCTTGTCAGATAGCCCCAGATTCTCTGTTGCTCAAGCGACACCCCCGCCGCCTTGTCTTTCACCTCCATCCCCTAGACGTGTTCTAGCCAACTTAGACGAATCTTTGTTCAACTCCGCTTCTTTCGTTAATGCAGAGGGTCTAGACACTGATTCCGAGACGTCTCTAGATCAGATGCCTGCGGTAAACCGTTCCAAAGCTGTACATAGCCCCAGAAGCCGCAGGAAACTACTCCCAATCAATGCGAACGCACGGATTCGCCTGTTGCGCGAATCAGGTAAGTCTTGAAAATAAATATATCCATTAGTTACAATGTGACTTAGTCGATCCGTAGATGCATCTGTTGGTCGATCATGGGCGTTTTCAGTCAATAAGTTTCGGTCACACTTAGAATTAGTTAACACCTGGTTGATTTGATTACTCCATTACGTTTTTGAAGCAACTGAGGATCTATTATACTGTTGTGCCACACACAACAAGTGGAGAGGATAATCTGTTTGAAGGGAATGAAGTCGAATCGGCTTAAACGGTGCGGATGCAGTCACCGACGGAGCGTTTGCTGACTCTTCGCAACGAGTCGACAGTGTACAGCAGTAATTTTATTTAGTTTCAAAACAAACTACCATTTAGAATACCCAAAGGGGCTCGTCCAGATGTTTCTGACGATCGAAGAATTATTGCATGTTTTTGCTGGAGGAGTGAAGGAAATGCCCGTATTTTTCATCCAGAATAGCATGGTACGGATGCCTTCACTTATATACTCACATTTATGGACACGGAACAGACTCTTAAACTCATCTTTGTTTCTAACAGAAGAGGTGGTAGGGCCGTTGCCGTGATGTTGGACAAGATCACAGAAGCCCCAGAATTCAACATTTCCGGCAGTCGCCGAACGGTGAAGATATTGTCGTTTTTCACCACCGACATCCCGTTTTTTGGCGCAGTCTGTGCGATGCTGTAAGTTAAAACGTTGCGCTGACAAGACAAGCAGGGGTTGGTTCACGGTATCTACATCGGTGTTGGAGAACATGACGTAAAGCAAACGTTTTATGAGCATCATTTCTCCGTGATTGTTATTGATAATTAAAATTTCTTCTGGAGGACTGTGGTATCTGGCGTATGGCACATGGGGCACAAGACTGAAAGGGGTGTCGGTCTTATCTAGGTTCAAATTCCACCTCACCACTCGTCACAAGCCACTTTCCACTTGAAGGGTGAATACGCCCTATGGCAGGATCACAGAAACTGTACACGTACGTGTGGTTTTCCACGTTTTATAGCTTGTGTGACTGAACAACTCACTAAGCCACAGATTGTACAGGGCTTTCAGATAGGACAGCTGCCATATCGATGACTACACAACCTCTTCATCTAGTTCGACGCAGATATGGTCAGCTTCGGAAACAACATCCAAGATTCACAACGCTCAAATTCCTTTGACAATGAGCACGCAAGAAACCTGAGGCCACTTCCGTTTATCACCCAGTCGCCCCTTAAACAACTATTACATACAGTGCAGAACACTAGCAATACACTTCTTCAGGCTATACATAGCTTAAACACACCTAGTCAAGGTGAATTGGTGGACCTCTGAGGTGCAAAACAACCAAGGGAATGCGACCTTCGTGAACATTTGCTTCGTTTGGTACTTCACTGTACCCCCATACCAAAAAAAGGATGATGAATCAGGTCAAGGGGCTATCCGACAGACGTCACGGCTGAGGTCTGTTATACAGTTACCGCATCAAATTAGGGCAACCGGCCCCATGCTGGGCATATGCAATCAGTTTTTTGCGTGCTCGTTATCAATAAAATTTAAGAGCTGTGAATTATGAAAAGTCGAAAACCGCACATACGTGTGCAGTTTCTGTGATGCTGTGATAGGTCGTATTCACCCTTCCAGTGGAAAGGGACATGTGTGGAGTGGTGAGATGTAATTTGAACCCAGCTTAAACAAGGACCTGATAAGGCAGCCTCTCCTTTTGGTTTTGCGCTTCAAGTGCTACACGTCAGGTGCCGCATTTCTCCAGGAAGGGGAACTAGTTTTCAATAACAAAGTTCAAGAGGAATTGTTTGAAAGTCACATTCCCTTACACCACTGGACATGGTAAACTCACGCGAAAAGTTGTTATATATTCGTACCCGTCTACAGAAGTTCGTGTACAGTACTCATGAGGGATATAGATTTGGAATTACCACCTTTGATCGCCAGACCTCGCTAAGTGTCTGGCGACCGATAGAATCGAAAGGAGCCTTCAGATAAAGAAAAACGTCCAACTTGAGACGTTTGAAAGTGTCGCTGTTTAAGGACTTGACCCAAGACAAAGTTTTGGTCGATGCATCTTCGGTCCGGACGAATACCAGGCTGGTGCCACCATGCTTTTCACATGACGTTCTTGTGCTCTTTTTTGAAGAATAAGATGACGGTCGAGGCACCGCGTTTCACTGGTTTTCTGTTCGTTTCTTAGTACTCCCAAAAAGAATGTTAATCTTTGATTGAAGCTATATTCGTACCCGTCTACAGAAGTTCGTGTACAGTACTCATGAGGGATATAGATTTGGAATTACCACCTTTGATCGCCAGACCTCGCTAATTGTCTGGCGACCGATAGAATCGAAAGGAGCCTTCAGATAAAGAAAAACGTCCAACTTGAGACGTTTGAAAGTGTCGCTGTTTAAGGACTTGACCCAAGACAAAGTTTTGGTCGATGCATCTTCGGTCCGGACGAATACCAGGCTGGTGCCACCATGCTTTTCACATGACGTTCTTGTGCTCTTTTTTGAAGAATAAGATGACGGTCGAGGCACCGCGTTTCACTGGTTTTCTGTTCGTTTCTTAGTACTCCCAAAAAGAATGTTAATGTTTGATTGAAGCTCCCCATCGGTAACTGATAGCCACATGATCCAACAGTCCGTTGTGTTTGCTGGCCTCCAAGTTACTCCATGTTATCGCTTGTGCGGAACGTTCATGCCGATCCGGAGCAGACGATGATCAGCACACAACTGAAGTCGTTTTCCATTGTCCGTACGCTTGGCATCGACTTCAAATTTACCACCTAACTGTGCTTCTTCCGGGCTTAGTCGTCCAACTTGTGCGTTCATATCACCTGCCAAGATGACTGTATCCCTCCCCACTGACCGAAGCAGTTACCACATAACTCGTCCTAACATTCAGAACTAGTCTTTTGGGGCGTATGTTGATACTACAAAGAAACAGTTTACCGCATTGACCTCTATGCATCTAAATTGAACTCCACATGCGTACAACGCAAAGGCAACTGTTTGCTGGAATCCAGCCCAGTAAAGTGCTTTCAGCCTGGAGAATGGATTCAACTCCTACACCTTAGATACCACGATCCACTGCGTCAGGATCACCAGGTACCCGAAGAATGAAATATAGGCCACTTGAGCTCGTACTCAAATCATTTGAGTGCACGGCCAAAGTCGGGTATCCGTCTTCCAGAGACAACATATGTCAACAGAGAGGACAAACAAGGTCTTATGTAGAAGTGGCTTTTGGCCAATGTGACACTGAGTACGGACATTGAAAAGAAAAAAAAAGAAAAGCGTTCAGCTGTAGCACCCTTCCGGTGCCTAGCTGCCATGCCACCCGAAGGGAGCACGAGGGCTGGGATACTGCCAGGTTGCCCAAGCCTAGACAGGGGAAGTCGAGTGGCGGAGGTCGGATTCGAACCGCGGACCTTCAGGTTAGTAAATCCGCGCTCTAACCACTTCGGCCATCTCGCCCCCTACGGACATTGAAGGCTGCAAGTAGAGTTTAGTGAGGAGTTATTTTAGTTTATTCTGCTGCGCGGTGTTACGCACTCGAATGATTGTGTCAGAAATAGAGAACGAGGATTGCCGAATGATTGACTTTAATATTCTAACAATTTCAGTACATCAGCTAAAACATTGGGAAACACAGTTAGTTTAACGAATAGCGAGTAAAAAGTTAAAACACAACGTCAGTATATAACAGGCGGTAGCTTACAAACGAAATAGTGGTTAAGCGATTGGCAGATAGGCTGGCCTCTGTGCATCATTCAATGGCCGGGGAGGGAGTGTGGGTGACGTCCGCTGAACGAAAAGCTTGAAGGGCGACTGATACTTCTGGTCGAAGGAGGGGGTTTGATTAACATAGCCCGCTTCGATCCTTCGACTTAAAAGTTCGACTCACTAGGCAGTTAGAGAATGTAGGTTTTTGTTCGGGTCCCTTCTAGCCTCGGACTCTAAATTCTGGACCGCGAGGCAGCGATTACTATGGCTTTCTTAAGGGACCCTGCCCGGAACCAATTATTCAATCGTCTGACCCACTTGATTGCAGAAAGCTTGCCTGGCCCAAATGCGCAGGTGGTAAGACATAGTTGTCCATCCTAGTGCCACTGTGCGCAACACTGAACAGCACAAGACTGTTTGATTTTAAGCGTGACCCTAACATTCTATTAACTCGTCTGGTGACATTGTGATCAGGCACCTTTAACCGCTTGGAGCTACGTTTACGCCGAGTGAACCACACAATATTACAACATAACATGGCTTTCTATGGGTATCCGATCCACCAAGGCGCTCTTAACCAATAGGACTGAGGGCGATTCTCACTCCATGGATGCATCAGGACCACCGTATACTGCGGTAGTGGAACTTAGAAAATATACATCCTTTCCAAGTTTGAAATGTGTGACCGGGGTGGGTTCTTGTATAGGCCTTTCCGAGACTTAACATAGACTGGTGGAGTAGGGAGTCAATTTTAGCAAGGGATACCTGTTGTTCACTTTGACAGGAATTGTGGTCACTGGGACGGGATGGCTCAGTGGTTAGGGCGCGAATCTACTAACCGGAAGGTCTGTGGTTCGAACCCGACCTCCGCCTCTCGACTTCCCTTGTCTGGGCTCGGGCAACTTGACAGTATCCCGGCCCTCATGTTTCCTTCAGGCGGCATGTTAGCTAGGCACCGAATGGGTGTTACAGCTGAACGATTTTTGTGGTCACTGAAATCTACAACGTGGAAGAGTTCTGAAGTTTGGTACATGCCTCTTTTGTTTTATTTTAATAGGCAGTACCTTGGGCCTGGAACAATGTTTAAGTTACCGAGATCTGAGTCAACTGTGGTGGGCCATATGAAGAACCAGTTGCGTGGCTATCCGTTTACTCCTATCGTCGCTGGACGAAACTACTAGCTGGACTAACCCTATCTTGGTACAAGATTTTTGCGGAATGACTCAATGATGGATTGCAGTATGTTGAGTATGACCCTGGATGATGCACTGGATTGGATTTTTCGGGCAGTAAACTGTGTCACCAGGCCGTTGAGTCCCTTATAATCTTCGGATGGCCCCCGTACACTTTTCACTATTCTGGATGACTACTTGAACGTCCAGTTGGAGAAATCAAATTTGTTATAGATGCTCCCTGAGCCGACTGCGATAGTCGTTTCATGCATTGCAAGATAGCCCAAGTGGTTAGAGCGCGAATTTACTGACCGGAAGGTCCGTGGTTCGAATCCGACCTCCGTCTCTCGAATTCCCCTGTCTAGGCGTGGGCAACCTGGCAGTATCCAAACCCTCGTGCTTCCTTCGGGTGGCATAGCAGCTAGGCACCGGAAGAGTGCTACAGCCGAACGCTTTTTTTGCGTTGCAACCGCTAACTTTCAAGGGGAACGTGCGCATCCTGTTACCTGGTACTGTCTTAACCGGAACCAGTGGAGCATACAGCCACGGAGCGTTTGGAGGACAAGCAGATACCCAGTATCGTTGCTTTTTTCAAAAAGACATCTGATCTGAAGTTGGGACTCATCGACGTGTTAGCGCATGTCCCGCTCTGAAAATACACTCGCCTATTACAACGTTGACTCTACTATCACTCGTATTTTTTTAATTATGGGATGTTGCTCACTATCGGTTGCCTCGTTTGGTCCCGTCTGCACATTTTTGCTTTTCCCAGACAGAAATGATGTTGCTGCTATAGATGTCACATGCCTAAGGATCACTCCTCACCTGTGCTCTTTACTCTGGGTACTTTCCCCCTCCCCTCTCTCCCGTCCAGGCGTCCTACGGTTGGACGAATCTGAGCGTGAGGTTTGTTTGCAGATGCGCGCCACCCGTTCTCGTGTCGGTTGCGAGTGTGGCCCGCGTTATCCGTGCACCCCCGGTAGATGTTCTTGTATAGAAGATGGTGTCCAGTGCCAAGTGAGTGTCGCTTCTTTTCTTCATTCATAAAAGACTCAACTTTGGATGTAAAATCATGCATGATTGGATTCTCTGAGCTTGCTTATTTCAAACATATCTTAGCTTTTTATCATATGTTCTCCTAGTTGCGAACCTCAGTATCAGGAGACCGGGAAACGCGTAGAAAGACCGTGCAGTATGAAAACGTGGCTGATGGTCTCTACTTCTCACCCCCTTCTCTCAATACTTTTCGTATCTGCCTGAAAAAAGACAAACTGACCCAAGGTCTTTCAGTGGCTAACCATCGAAGACTGCAATAAGCCGGGTGGGTACATCGGCAAACAGATTCCGGAAAATCACTATATGGAGGTCGGAGTTCTCAGTGAGCTGTATTAGGCGGGCCTCTTTAGTATGCCCTGCTGTTTCACTTCTTGGGTGTTCGTGTGTACCACTGGCATCACTATGTCTTTTCACTATTCTTTCCCAACGGGTTGTGAATGGATCGCTTCACCCATTTGCGTGGACTGTGACTCTTTGTGTTCCAGCAGTCGTGATGGCTGAATGGGGGGTGGGGTTATGGTTTATACCTTAGATTACTTGAGCCCAACTTTCAGGGCTGTATTGTCACTCCAGTCTCCTCACAGGCAGTTCTCTGTGCTGGGTTACACCGAGAAATCAATCCATCTTATCATTCTAACCTGTTGCTTTGGTTTTATAGAAGACGCCGTATCGTACGTTTTTCTCATCATTCGATGCCATTCGATTCATTTGTCAGTTTGTTCGAAATCACTCAGTGATTTAGTTGCGAAGCTGCATGGCTCGAACTAAACTCTGCATCTCAGCCGCTACTGTCTAGGATTGGGCAATCTGACGGTATTTCAACCCTTGTACTTCCTTCGGATGGTGTGGCTGCTAGACACCGAGAGGGTGTTACAGCTGAACGATGTCTCGCGTCTGTTATTTTACTGTTTGGCAATAGTCCGTCCAGCGCTTCATCAGGTTTTTAGATCCTACTAGAGGTGACCACATTAGGCATTTGGACACGCGGATTCATATTTACAAGTTGGTTGGCCTGACTGTTGTATCTTTCATGCTCTGGGATTCTCTAGTCTGGTATGCCTGTCCACCGGTTGTTTCTGTACTCTGTTGTCCTGCAGAACACGGTAAATAATGTTCTTATCATAATCTACATTGGTGACAATTTTGGCGCTCATCAACCTAGCATTGTGGCATGAAGTTTTTTAAAACATGCGTCTAATCCTACTCGACGTATCACTTTTACAGGTTGATCGAGCCTCGTTCCCCTGTTCTTGTGTCGCCGAGCAATGTCACAATCCCAATGGGCGGACCGAGTTTCCACAAGAACAAGTCAAAGCCCATATTCAACGAGTTCTCAAACAGGTGAGATTACCTCGTAACCCCGTTTGTCTTTCGTGCAAGGGTTTGAGTTTCTCAACAATATTACAGAAATAGATATTCTCATCACTTTGGCCAATTCGTGTTTCTACATTCCGTTTCATCGCTTCAGGAATGCTATGTTTGATAAGCTCTCTTTGTCCCATTTCTGGACACTACTGCATCAATGATAGGTTAAGGAGATTTGGTAATTTTCAACTGAGATTTTGTCCTGTAAAAGCTAATCTGTGCTGAAAAGCCGAGAAGCAATGTGCAGCTGTCTTATTCTTATTTGGAACCACAAGCAGTATCCGTCTCAGGAAACTACAGGGAATCTCGCACCCGCGACCTCCCGGCTATTAATCTGAAGGTTTAACCGTTCGGCCACGAGTGGTTGATCAACATTGTGATTAGCCCGTACTTAGACAGGACATAGCGCTACTCCATCCTTCAATCACAGAAACCTCATCACGTGGTAACATATTAGCTGACTCCCCGAGTGACAGTTTTTCATATAAAAGTTTCACTCATGTGAACTATCTCTTCTGAGCCACTTACAGTTTGATAGTCGTGTGAGCACTAAATTCCTATCAGAACGGTTATTCGCAAGCTTATGATTTCCATAGGAACTTATCCGTATGCCATGGGAGCTGTTCCTATCCGAGAATGCGCAGTGCCGAAAGAACAAACCAACCGTACAGTCTTGTCTGCCGTAATTTTCTCTCGGAAAGAACTAAGGCTACATACTTATGTGACGCTGAATAAGAGCAAGTTTGTTAGCATAAGATGTCACAACATGGGCATTCTTCGATAACTCTGATTTGACGCCATTCGATGCAGATTGATACAAACATTGAATTTGGGTTTCAGCACCGGATCCTCCTTACACATTCGGCTTTGATTCTCTTTCAAATAAACCAGCTAATGCCACAGATCCGTTGCAAGAGACTTTAACGGCACTCGTGAACCGCATTCTGGAGGCACATAGACAAGTTGGGGGTTTTATTGGACGAACGCTACTCGTAAGGTTGCTCAAAACTCTCCGAGAACCCACGACCATTTCACCTTTCTTGAGGTTCTTCAAGTAGGCGTTGTCCCCGAGTTTTCGTCAACCTTTTCTCTTTGTTGAACCCAAATTGTACGAAATTCCCGAAGCACACTCACGTGGGTTCAGCGGATGACTCAACTGATTCCCAGCTGAACCTCTTGTTTATGGTATTCTTCAATTGATTATGCTACAAAGAGACAGTCTTATGTCTCAGTTTGCAGGATATCCGAGATATCGCAGTATATCTTCTCGAAGTAATACTACTCATAAGGTTCAGCTTACTGAGAACTCTTCGACAGCACACGACCTGTTCCGCTCTTTTTGGGGCTCATCAGGTAGGCGCTGTTCCCGAGTTTCCGCTAACCTCATGTTCTACTTGAACCGAAACTGCAAGAGGTTCTTCAGCTACACTCATTTGCATACCAATTTAGTTTTTTTACGATGGACTCAACTGAATCTCAGGTGAATTTCGATTATGATATCCTTCAGCTGAATGTGCTTTACAAATGCCTTGTCACGTTCCAGTTGGTGCAGATGAATGTATTTCGCATTTGCGCACAATTTGCGTTCAAGTAGAACATTGGGTTGACGGAAACTTGGGGACTGCGGTTAGCTGATGAGCCCCTAAAAAGACGAAACTGGTCGTCGGCTGTCAAATAATTTTAAGCAATCTTAATAGTATTCATTCTTCTCGGACGAACTGGTGTATCAAGTGTATGCTGGCAATGCACTACTCATAAGGTTGCTCAAAACTCTTCGACAGCCTACGACTGGTTTCGCCCTTCTTGGGGCTCATCAGGTAGGCGCAGTCCCCGGGTTCCCGTCAACGTTACGTTGTACTTGAAACCGAATTGCACGAAATTAGCGAATATGCGCTCATTTGCAAACTAATATGGTTCTTCGAGAGACACTCACCTGGATCCCAGGTGAATCTCTCGTTTGTAATTTTTCCAGGCAACTGAATGTGGTACACCAGGCCTCCTCGTGTTTCAGTCGCTACGATATTCGAGATATCGCGAATGCACTACTCATAAGGTATCAAGTGTATCAAGTGGTTTATGGCCTCAGTTCTCTTTGTTTCGTTTAAATGAATGCCGCGGAACCAGTGAAATGACTCTTCCAAAGTGTGCAGATTTTTCGTTTGTAGATACGTAGGCGTGTGGCTATTTCGGATTGGGTAATACGGAACAACAAGGAATATTCAGTTATCACAGAAATCGGTCATGCGGCACACCCGTACACAAGACTCGTTTGTGGTGGCCTTCTAGCTTGTGCTTACTGATCGGTAGCTTGATGAAGCAGTCAAAAGCCTAGAGTCCTGTAGTCTGGCCGAGTGACTTCCAGTTCTTCGTAATTCACATGTCGGTTTTAGAGTTTGGCGATTGGGGTTAAATTTTTTAACGTCGAAATGTGCCTAAAACTTACCAAAACACGATATGAAACTAGTGGATTTTGATTACCGGTGACCCCTTTACCGTTAACAGGACCAGCTGTCTAGTTGTTCACAGTTCACGGCATCATTGGATCAAGTGAATTTTTCTTGGGAAACGATTTGTTCGTAAAGCTGGACTGAGACCGTCACGATTTTCCTAGTTTCCTTGCTTTTCGTTCTCGACTCCAATACCAAAGCAAAACATCTGTGCTGCACTTCCATGAAGGTAACTCAATTTCTTTAGATGATACTCTGTAGTGCCCATACACCCGACGCTCAGCCAGACAATTTGAGCAGACCCTGACCGCATGTGCGCTGCTGGTCTCGGCATATGACCAGATCTTTTAGTGTCCTCAGCCAAGCACAGGTCGGTTCAAGTGGACTCCACTCTCTAAAGCGTTCTAGTTGAAGGGAAGAAAAGTGATGTGAGAAATCATAGTCGACACAGCTAGGAAACTGCCTTTCTGTTTATGGTGGATCCGGAATGGGATGCCTATATTTTCGCTGTTCTTCATCTCTTTTTACTGTTTAGCTACCCCGTGTCAGCCCCCTTCCTCGAAATGTTTTTTGTTAACAGGTATTAAGGAACTGTATGCTTCACCGGTTCTGATTGAAATGGCTTGAAGGTTAAGGTGGTAGCTTTTGACTAAACATGTTGCCGTCCCGATTCCCGGTCCATCAACAGTTATTAAACCGCTTATATAAGAGTACGTTTTTTCGTTACACTTGAGGCTGTTTTGGCGACACCTTGTGAGCCAAGTCGCTCTACTGTGGACCTTCACCAAGCTTTTTTAAGATTTATTTAACCGTGATATACAATGCATTTATTTGGTGTTGTAGGTCAACGAAGAAACCGATGAAAAAACCACCCAGTCCCCTGTTTCGGAACTGCGCCCATCAGGCGACGGTCCGTCTTCGTCAGTGCTTCCCAAGGAGGGTAGTCCCATTGCTGCAGCGGCCAAGGCCAGTGTGCATTCCGATCACGTCCGATTCGTCTCCCCTCTCCGAGTTTGTCAAAAGTCCGGCAGTCGGACACTGTGGAAAGGAAAGAAAAACAGATCACCCGTAGTTGATTCGGCTAAAACTACGGTCATCGTTCCCACCTCTACCCCGGAATATTCCACTGAATCTGTCGAGTATTCCATCATTGACTCCCCAAAATTTGTCATGTCTTCGACCCCAGCAAATTTAGGTTCAGCACCTACTGGACGTGTTTTATTTCCAGACTCAGGGCTTGCAGCCCCAATCGCCTGTGATGAGGTATCTCTTCCTGCCCCATCCCCATTCATGGCAGGCCCACTTTCCTGCCATGGTGTATCGCTACCGTTGGATTCGGACATGATCATTCAGGTTAGTTCTTCTATTTGTTAATAACCACTCGCTGTTTCAATTCGTCGAAAATAACAAAAAATCGGTGACGTAGTTGGATGAACGAATTTCCATCAAGACTTTACGCGCATGTATGTGAAAGGTTCTATCTTCTGCCGGAAATTAAAGCCTGATCACACATGGGTTGGGGCGAGATCGCTCAAGTGGTTATGAGCGCGAATTTACTGACCGGAAGGTCCATGAATCGAACCCGACCTTTGCCTCTCGACTTCCCCTGTCTTGGCTCAGGTGACCTGGCAGTATCCAAGCTCTCACGGTTCCTTCTGGTGGCTTGGCAGCTACGCACCGAAGGGTGCTACAGCTGAATGATTTCTTTCCTTTTTTCGATGGGTTGGCAGCACTTTTTGTTTGTCAACGCATGTCGGGTTATTAAGCTTTTCGCCCCAAACGTTGCTGAATATTCCCGTCGTCGCCATCATCATTATTGACAAGAATACACCAGTAATACACACTATCGCTCAAGCACCATAATATTCCCATCGACTGGTGTTTCCGGCCCACTGCGAGTTATCCAAAGTCTGACTACGGCCCTCGCTCGCCTCTGTTTATTTCATGACTTAAGGGCTTCACTGCCTTCATACTGTTACCTGTGGTGCCACGGTTATATAGGTTTTCTTCAAGGATTTTGTCATTACATGTTCTCTCACAGTACATTAATCTTTTTGAGACATATTACCCCGGAGAGAGGCCAAGCCAGATCAACAGTATTCCTCAGCCACTCCCCAGGAGTCGCCGAATACCTCCTCTTGCTCATCGCGCGCCACTTTCAGGGGAGTGGGGCACTTTCTATCCACTTGATGTCTGTTCGGTTGTGTAGTATTGGCCATGTGCTCCGTATGCCAGTCGACCGAATTCCTCGAGAAATTCTTTTCGCTCAACGGGAAGGGTGGAAACGAGCCAGAGGAGGTTAAACAATGACTTGGCAGCGAAGTACGAAAGCCATTACCAGCAAACTCAGCTACGCTGGTCATTGCCGTCTCCCTGGATGGGGACCCCTTGACGGGTCACATGATTGGTTGGAGACACTGTCAGATATGGCCCAGTCGCGCCCTCAATGGTGATCGTGCATCCAAGCTATTGCCTTCAACGCACAGCTCCTTTCCAAACCCCCCAGTAAAAAGTCCTATGACAGACCTTTGTTTGCGCCTCAATTTATCAGTTCCCACCTCTGATGCTCAGCTACCTACCCTACCTCTCCAAATCATCGATAGACAAAGTTGTGGCAGCTACAACCACTGTAAGACAAGTACGCGGTTCTTACAGATAATAATGATGATGATCGCTACAGCTGCAACTCCAGTGGTACTGAGTTACCAAGTGCACCGGTACTGCGTTACGTGCTTCTGCGACTGATGCTAGTTACCTTTGACAGGAACAGTACGAATTGCAACGAGCAACGAATCGGTTAAATTGTTGGGTAGCTGTTATATCCGTATGTGTCAATCTTTACGGTTTTTTACTGTTGTGCGGATACCAACCTTTCATTGGGAGTGGCAGATGATAGCGCTATTTGTTGGTCCATCCAACTATACCCGCTGCGCAACAGGTTTGTTTTGTTAGATGTTATTGGTGTCTCCTTTTACCGGCGAAAATCTCTGCGACATACGATAGAATCACATCCGTTCCGAAATGGCCGTTGTGCCGGGAATCGGTGGTAACCAAATGCTCATACAATGCCTTGGTTGGGGAAAGGAGTTGTTGCAATTTTTTTCTGTACTATTTGCGTTTCAGATTTTAGCTTTGTCTATCCCGGAAATCGGCCTTTCGTGATTCAGTATTCCGGTTGAAAATTCCGGTGGCTAAGGGCAGAAACGGAAATGCGTGTTTTTCGCTAGGATTTTCAGCAACGTGTTCCTTCCTACATGATGCCTGTTCTCACCGGGGGGGGGGTTAGGTGCCCAGTGTCTGGCCTTGTACTTTACGTGACCGTTCCGTTGGTAGCATGCTGTAGTCGTAGCAGGCTTGACGTGTACGTTTAAATTACATACCAAATCACTTCCGTACCAACCCGTTTCGTTGCTAGCATTACTGTTCCAAGGGTACAATGTACAAACCGATCGATACATGGAGAAATTTACCCTCTCGAATTGTTGACCATGGACACCTTATCACTTTCATCGTATTCGGTTATCTGGCTAGCGAAACGGAGCTGTTAGAAATTAAGTATCTTAGCTATTTAGGATGGTTGTGAGTGAAGGAATGTTCGCTAAAGTCAATGTGCAAGCAAATCGGGGAGCAATAGTTATTTAATTAAAGTACTCAGTTGGGTCCAAATATCGGAAACGGAGCTAATTATATTCTATACAACTTGGTATTGGTCGGCGGATCATTAGTTGTGGGTCTCTTACTCCACGGCATTCCGCGCCTCTGTGGTGTCTGGTCACGATATGAGGGGAGAACGACCCTTAAAGTGCACAGTAAGTTGATTCGGAACGGTCGATGGAAACGTAGCTTGTGTCCAACTTTGATACGCACCAGGGCCATTCGTTTGAACGTTTGTGGTGGACTCGCAAACGGCCCTCATCGAGGTGGTCGAGTAAAGTACACTATCAGGTATAAATTCATCTCTTTAGAGCACGTAACGCGAATGCACCTTGTCGTTACACTGATTATGTCTTCTTAGATGACTCGACTAAACCTAACCTCCCGCTGCAGCATCTGGAGCACCCGCGTATCTTACTTCGTTCATGCGTTTGTCTCAAAATAGAAACGGATTGGTCTTGCTGCCCATTTGGTCTTATTTGAACCTCATCTGGTTGATATGGCATTATTTTTTGCTCAGTGTTGGTCTTGCTGCCCATTTGGTCTTATTTGAACCTCATCTGGTTGATATGGCATTATTTTGTTGCTCAGTGCTCAGGCTTAAACTTCACACTGTCAAGCAGTCGCCTGCCTTAATTATACGCATGGCGTACATAAATTCAAGTAGTTTGGCGCATTTCTCCGGATTTCTCAGCAATCTGACCACCGGTTAGTACTCGGAATCACACCCTTTGTGGCTGTCATAGACGATGTTACCTGTATTTTTCCTACAAGTGATAATTATAAACTAGGAGTACTTCGTCCTGTCCAAATCTACTCAATCGGAAGTCGAACTTCTCACCTGCGCTCTTCGTAACAGATTTATATGCTTCATGAGTGCCAATTTCGTAGCTATTGTGAAAAACATGGATGACCTTGTCTGATTTTATGCTACTTTTGTCCAGCTAGTCCGCTAGCCCGTACGACCCCAGGTCCCCCTTTGCTTAACCCAAGGCGCCAACCATGGGTGAGCGTTTGTTGTCAGGTGAGAACCAAAGGTGCTTAAAATGTTCCGCACGAACAATACGGCAGTTTATTTCGATCAGTTTCCGGTCGTTCTTTTTTCGCTAGCCACCTAAATCAACGGAAGATCCGAATTTTCGACTTACTCCGATACAGCATATCAGCAGAAGGCGCAACTACGAATCCATAGGTTCTCCTCAGCCGGGACCGAACAAAGAAAAACTTGCAGCAAAAGGCGTTACGGATCCAAGCAGTTTGCTGGAGGAAGAGTGTATTCGGTTGACGACGGATACTGTCGCTCTGGTACCCAATATCATCATGGATACGGAGGTCGCTGATCAGCTGTCTTTTGAAGCAGGTGTTCTATTGATGTCCGAAGGTGGGGAAAACGGTACTGGTAGGCATCGTCGTGAGGAGCTTACCGAATGTCACAGTAGTCCGACGTCACCTGTCAAACTGGTCGAATGCGCTCTTTCGCCCGATCAGTGCAAACTGACAACGAAAAGGGTGGGATCTCCATCCCTTTCAGAGTTAGGTTATACTAATCGCCGTCCTAAAGGTGAGGAACATTTACACGTAAACGTATTTGCCATTTTTCGGTGTCTGCTTCCTCAGAATTAGTAAGGTAAAGAATTTTTTTACTATTAGGACAGATGGGAATTTAATCACAGGATTCTAATTCGGCTATAACACGATGTTGTTAAGCATAACTGTTTATTCTCGATCAGGGTTATTTGTTCTCCATCAGGTCTGATTTGTATAATGTTCTCCCTTGTGTGCCCTTGCTTGTCGGTTGACCGGCTTGGGGCGAAACCGGAAGATCCGTGATCTGAACTCAAACCTGGTTCCCTCGATCGCCGTTCTCTAGCCTTGAGGCCAGTGGTTAAGGCGCGGACTTACTGACTGGAATGTCTGTGGTTCGAACCCGAGCTATGCATCTCGACTGCTCCTATTTAAACTTCGGCAACCTGGCAGTATCTCAACCCTCTTTCGGGTGGTGGCGTGGCAGCTGGATACCGAAAGGGCTGAACAACGGGAACCTGGCATCCCTCATGCTTCTTTCGAGTTGAGTAGAAGCTCTCTACTGAAGTGGCGCCATAGATGAATGATTATTGGTCAGTTTACTACTTGGGAAAGAACGTAACGTCTCGAACTGGAGTTTCCTATTACTCAACATTTCGGTCACTTCAAGAAGGTTGACCGAAGGGTTAATCTTTGCCTCCATTCTATCTGGTTGGTGGTATACATCCCAGCTGTTTATTTCAGGCCACGCTTTCGCATATTCAGTCCTACTCGAACCCTGTAGAACACAAACAGGCTATTGATTTTTTATTAACTTTACTTTACTAAGGGGCTTTCGATATTGAATCGTACGGTATCCCTTCCCACAACGATATTACGTAAGTAGTGTATCGTCGTCTTGTTTAACGGTTCACTAACCGGCCTACATTCTCTGTATGTGTTCTCCATTTGTATTCCTGCTCTTCATGCACTTTTCCGCTGCAGCTCCCTTTGTTTCCAAATCAGCTCCTTCGAGCCCCACTCAACTAACACCGGCATCGCTTAGTCGATTGTCGCTCCGACGACGTGCCATACCCCGACTACCAGTCACACCTTACAGACGTACACCTCATTCTACCCGTACACCAAACGCCTACACTGCCGCGAAAAAACAAGTATTCCTGAGTGTTACTTCCTCCGCTTTCAAGCAAAGACTGTTTGACGACTCTGCACACAACGACGGTTCCACTCCAGTACCTCTATCTCCTCTTGTCCGTGTTGGTCGACCGCGATCTCACGTGGTCAGCAGTTCTGCTCCTAGCCAGTCACCAACCCGAGCGGTTGTAGCGACTATCAAAGATGCTGTTACGACTGGTATCACGCAAGGCACTAGCCGTTCTACCTCAAGTTGACTACTGACTCTTTGTGTTACGTGACAACGCTTATTGCTCAGATTATCAGTAGTGTTTGGCGGTTATTATGTTTGTCACGGCTATCCGAATCGGATCGAACCCCCCGTTTTGGTGCGATTTTTCAAATGCATTTGATCTTTGCTTGCGCACGTTCCCAGTCAGTTACCCACTGTATACTATCCTTCAATTATTCTGAAGCAGCATTTATTTTTTTGGAGGACGGGAAAAATATAACTATTGTCGTTATCCGAGCAGTGCTCCAACTTCTCTTGTTGTGTGAACAAATGTTGTTTGGACGATTTAACGATGTGTTGCGTTTGATTTTGTTGGCTTGTGATTCATGTGATCCGGGATCGTTATTTTACTCCACTCACTTATGGTTAGTGCAGAAATGGCCTAATCGCGCAGTCAGTGGCGCTCGTGCATCAAAGCTAACGCCTTCAGGATTTCTGAACAAACCGAGCATGCCTTTGCCTCCACGGCTTGCATTTCCCGCACTCCCACTTTCCGGTGATCGAAATTGTAGAAGATGGAACCAATGTGCCTACGGCACACGGTTGATAGCTGATAAATTGAATTGAATCGAACTCGGTGCTTAGTAGATTAAATATTATTGGGGAACATGTTATAACAGCGGCGTTTTCCATCAGTTTTGGCCAATTATTTTCGTCTACCGAGACAGTATGCTTTTGGCCGATTTTCAGACAAACCTTCGTGACCCTTCAATGAGTTTTTCCCGGGTTGGTAGTGGTTGTCGGGCATTCAATAGCTTCTCCCGGTCACTGTCACGTGGTACAAGAATGTAAAACTGCATGACAAGTAGCAATTTTGCGGTTATGTTGGCAGAGTGTGCACGTCGGCAGACTACGGATATATTTGGATAGGATGCTTGACTAGTTTCCGTTGCGCCGAGATTCTTCGGCAACTGTACCTTTTCAAGTCACGCTCTGGACATTGCAACACCAAGTGTGACTCTTGAACCTGTGGTCTGAGTCTTTGAACGTCAGATTCCTCCGGTGTCTGGTGGGTACCACCAAGCTTGATGCGGTGCTGGTGCCGGGTGGGTGTAAGGATAGCGTGAATAGTCACAATTTGCCTGTCCGCCAACCCTGCATTTTCGTGATGGTTCTATATCGAAGAAGAATAATCGTGGTGCACGGTAGCGTAAGAACGCAGCACGTTGACTCAATGCTAGGTGTGTCTTCGGAGCATAACAACGGTGATCAATTAAGGTGGGTGTATCGGTTCTCCGTCTTGGCCACCGCGTCTTGCAGGCCATTGCATGACGAGGGCAACTCATGCCCAACTGGCTGACCTCATATTCCAAACTGAGGGTCTGGACGGAAGATCTTGACTCAGCTGCCTTCGGTCTGGAACTTGTGAAATATCCCGACTCTCCCTAGTGATGTACGACGGATGGTGCGCCAGATGTATGCACTGCATGCATGAAAACACCTTATCTCATTCGGATTCACTCGGTGTTCCCGGACTCACCCCCTGGTCGCAACATTAGCTCGTATTTGACCCCATTCGACTCGATGGAGCCAGCAGCAGCCTAAGCTGTGGGTTCTTCCCTTTGTTGCTGACCATAACGCAGTGCCTCTAAGTGACAGGAAAACGAGTTTGGGTCGATTTCGCCAGCCCGAATGATCACAATGCCTTTGGTCTCCAGGGTCTTAGCTTTCTTTTCAACCACTTCCCCTTTGAGTTGATTGTCTCACTTGTGAAGTAAAATGGCTTCATAATGAATAAATGTCCATCGAGACACTCGGCTGGTGTTACCAAGCTCACATCGCCAAATTCCGTGGTGATTCTCCAGCGTAGTGTAGTGAACGCACCCATTGGGTCACATTCAATCCAGTCGACTAGGTCTTTCATATCTGTCCTCTCCTACCTTATGCATGCGTGCGTGTCTCACATTGCCTAGATGTCCTGGGAAATCATGAATTAGCCTTGTGCGTTTGCTGACGTCCCGTTCCCTTATGTTGCACTTTCTTGTGGATTGCAGTGGACGCCAGCACTTAGACAAACCACAAACCCAGCTGGGGTAGGTGTCTAGCGTCTCGGCCTTAGGCGTCTTGTTTGGATGGAGGTAGTTTGTGTACCCGCTCAAAGTTTCGGCATCTCCAGGTGTTTGGTGTCTTCATAGCGGTTTCGGCGACTTCCGTGCTTGAGAACCTTATACCTGAGATTCCATCATTTCGAGAGCCCCAGAATGGCAGATTTCTCGCGATCGAATAATAGAGTTGACGGTCGCGCTCGTAGATTTCTCTCATGACAACTAACGGCAATTTGGTTTCAAGTAGAACATAAGGTTGACGGAGACTCAAGGACAGCGCCTACCTGATGAGCCCCAAGTAGGGCGAAACCGGTCTTGGGCTGTCGATGGATTTTCAGCAACCTTCTGATTAGTCCATTACAAATATACATGTATCGCGATATCTCGAACACTGTAGCGACTGAAACATGAGGCGGCCTGGTGCAGCACATTCAGTTGCCCGGAAACATCACAAACGTAAGATTCAGCTGGGTTCCGCGTGACTCGCCAAAAACCAAATTAGTTTGCAGATGAGTGTATATTCGCTAACTAACGGACGCCTTGTCATTCATTCTTGGTCCTCGTTCATATCTCTGATCCAAACAACGTTGTGGTCGTTGGCCGCTTCATAACATCTTTAATTCGTCAGTTGTATTAAACAGCGTGCTACAGTGAACGACTTTGATGAAAAAGATGTCAACAGATCAGTTCACGTGGAAGAATGAGCCGTTGTTTGTACGATCATCATAGGTAGATCGCAATCGAATTAAAACCCACACGTCAGCTGATCTGTTAGCCTTCAACGCAAAAGTGCTGAAGTGAAGCATGGAGACAGCTCATTGGTCAATGGGTGAACTTTGTGACCGGAAGCTCCGTGGTCCGAACTCATCCTCTGCATCTCGACTACTCTTGTCTAGGCTTGGGGAACGCGGCAATGTCTCAGTCCTCGCGCTTCTTTCGGTTATCATGGTACCCAGGCACCGACGATTATTGTCGTTATTATAAGTATTAAGGCATCGTGTTCAGGAGTCCCATAATAGCCAAAACACTTCAGTACCAATCTGTGACCACTCTAACAAAAGGCCAAACCACCTGAAATTATTTTCCTGTTCTCACAGTATTTGGTTTCGCGGCACTGTATGGCGCCTCCTTTGAAATAAGTAGCATTCCTAACCCTGAGAGTAAAATTTCATAATCATGATACAGTGTTTAATAAGTATCCCTGTCCGTTCAAATGAGTACTACACTGTGAACGCATTTCGATTCCGTTATCACCTTGAGTCACTGACTTCAGTGGTAGTGAACTTACTCAAGCTCTTTAATCGATGAATCCAGTGGAAACGTGAGGTTCATGATCCACTACAAAGTAGGGTTAGCATTGGAAGTCATACCAACTCGTTCGCTTGTCGTAATTTTTCGATGCACGTCTGCCGATCGGCCCGAAAATCACGTGCGGCTCTCTACTCCAACGACTGAACGTGACTCAACCTCATCCAGCTCTCGACCTACGTATTCTCATCCATAAATGGGTTTGGTACTCACTTTTCATGTATTATAGCGGCAGTTAGAATATGATCAATTGCGTGCGATGGTCTCGTCTGCCCCTAATATCAGATCCAGTTTACCTCAGTTTGTGAGTTTCGGGCTTGTTCCGCTACTGTTTGTGCGGTTTATTTAATCTAAAATAGGGAAAGTGATGCAGGATAGCCGCACCTTGAAGGCAACTGCCTAACCGATCCACCGGCTTCTCATGGAATTTTGAGTGGGCGGTAGGGGCGCTGAAGTGACGATAGCTTCACTACCGAAGTGCCACCGTTTACGGGGTTGTAGATGTCACTAATCTTGTGTGTGATTTGCACGCGGTCCCCCTTCTAGAGAGGCGGTGGTTGTTCCTATGACTGAAATAGGTCCCCAGGACTATCATGCGATTTTCCAAATTATAGACCAGTCACATTCGGGCGGATTCTAATTTGCGTATCACTGATCGACTAGATCTATTTGGGCGAGTGGGTTTTCGGGCGTACGGAACACGCAGTCTACTCAGCGTCACTCCTTGAGTGTAATGTTGGCGAGGTTATGCCGGGCAAAGGCCCGGCCTCTTGCTCTTTTTCCAGACTATCGAAACCAACATAATTGAATTTTCCGATTGTCTTCATTTGCTGGATAGCAGAAGTGCGGTTCAGGTTTGCATTGACCCAGCCTTATGTCATTACTTGAGCAGCGCTTGTCAAATAGTGCGACCGAAGAAATGTCTGTGTGAGCGACCCGGTCCAAGTGGAGCAATATCATCAGCATATTTAATGTCCCTGGCGGAGTTCCACAAGCGAGTTTCAACAGAGACGTTAGACTTCAGTGAAAATACTTCAAGTGGTGGGTCAATGATCAAAGTGAAATCGGTCGTCACTGGATTTAATTCACTATGAGCAGTTGAGCCTTTTTCGTTCATCAGCCGAAACACCCTTTTGGTGCCTAAATTCCATGCCACCAGAGGGAAGCATGAAGGCTTGGACACTGCCAGGTTGCCCAAACCTAGACAAGGGAAGTAAAGATGCAGAGGTCGGGTTCAAACCACGGACTTTTCGGTCAATAAATTCGCGTTTTAACCAATGGGCTATCTCGCCCCTCCCCCTAACGGGCCTCATTGTGCTGTTAGTAAACAAAGATTATAATTACAATCTTTAGCGTGTACTCAAAGTTTAACAGAGGTGGTCGATGCCATTGTTTATTTGCTTGCTTTTGGGCTGTATGGATGCAGATCTATTACTCTGCGCAATTTCACGTTCACATAAATTCCCTCTCGCTATTTTCAGCCGCCTAAAAACTGTCGGGCCGAATGTCCGGAGTTCCTTCGGGCGAGTGTGTGAATGGCGGCTTCACCAAACAGCAAATATGGCCTCCCTCATTTGATGACCCAACACTTCTGAATAATCCCGAACTCGTTTGGGATGACTCCGAGTTGATCGCGCACTACAATCGAGTAGATGCATTTGTCAAGGTATTCCACTTTCTCTTTGTAGTTTTCTGTTTCACCTATACTTATTTCCACGTTTAGCTCCTTTAACCGCCACAGTGATTGTCTGTGCCACTATTTCGGTACCTTAAAACCGGACAAAGCCACTCATGAAAGGTTGGACAGTATAATCGAAACATTAGAAGTGCATTTTGCCTCAACAACAGCATCGACAGCATGACATCAGAGTTAAACACCAATGCTTTACTGCCGTACAACCATGATTCATCTGAAAGCCTTATTGTAAAGAAAAGAGTAAATGTGGACACGGGAGTGACTTAGTGATAGCTTACCACAATCATTCCGAGGTACCTACACCTCCAGATACTCACTCAGGTAATCTGGATAGAAACTAACAACAAGAACGCCACTGACATCGGTTGGCAGCCATACTTGTAATGTCTCCAACCAGGCGCAGTGAGGATCACGCGGTCCCCACTCTGGATGGCGAGTAGCACCGACAGCACCCAAGCATTTCGTGATCTCCTTCGTACTTCTCTGCCAAGTCAAGGGTTGGCCACCTCTCTGTTTACGCCACTCTGAATTGGGCATGGAAGACAGCACTCTTTTCGGCAAACGATGGTTCGGCATACACAACACATGTTCCAGTCAACACAGCTTCTAGTGCTGGACACATTCTTCAATGGAAGTACCCGTTACACAGCCGAAAACACGCTTTCTAACTGCCTCGTTACGGATTCGCCGACACCAACCCACCTGCGCTATGGTCTTGAGACTACGATTGTCGAACACCTGAAGACGTCTCATTTTCGCCGCTTGAATAGGCCAAGTCTCACAGCCATACAACGAAACAGTCCGTACTGTAGCTTGATACACACGTCCCTTCAGATTCAGGGATAAACCATTCTGACGCCATAAGTGTCCCAAATTAGCGAATGCGGCCCGAGCCTTGCAGGTTCGTGCTTCAGTTTCGTCTCTCCGGACACTCGTTCAGACACCCTACGTGGAAACTAACAAGAGCACACCATACCTTTAAGCATCTCCAACTATGATCGGGAGGGTCATGCGGACCCGTTTTCGGAAGACACCTCACACAAGTGGTGCCCGGACTTCTTGATCCCGAGATTGCTCAGTGGTTAGGGTGTGAACCTACTCACCTGAAGGTCCGTGTTTCGTACCGACTGAAGAAGTGTTACGGCTGAACGATTACCATTATTTATTACTAGACATTCTGTTATCGCTTTCATGCCCCTCTGCCACCTCTGCTTGCAGCACTCCGATGTTTGATATCCTCTGTTTCGCAACTAATTTGACCTATTCTTGAACCTGTCATGGGCAAGAAGCGTGCAGATCGTCACACGCTTACTTCTGAAGCATTTCGTGTGAACAGAGCCGTCAAAAAGGAGAGACTAAAGTATAACTTTCATTGCATTGATGCACTAAGTAGGATGCTCTCGTTGTACCATTATTTTGGCGTAAATCGGCATTTTTCTGAACAACCTGGTGACATTACGGTCGTTGGGCTAGATAATTCAGTTTTTTTGTATTTGGACCAAAGTTTGAGAAGAAACTGATCCATGTAGCTGCAGATTTGATTTAAATGCTTTTTGGCTTTGCTGACTCCACTCTGCGTATTGATGTAGAGATCAGATTTTACTAGCAAAATACACTCATTTGCAGACAAATTTGTCTTTGCGAGAGACTCACCTGGAACCCAGCTGAATCTCTCGTTTGTAATGTTTGCAAAGGAGTGCAATCCGCTAATTTCGTGCAATTTGGTTTCAATTAGAACATAAGATTGACGAAAACTCGGGGACTGTGTCTACCTGATGAGCCCGAAGTGGAAGGGCGAAACCAGTCGTGGGCTGTCGAAAAGTTTTCAGCAACCTTGTGAGTAGTTTCCGTCATGAAAATATTCTGCGATATCTCGAATATCGTGCCAACTGAAACATGAGGCAGCCTGTGTGCAGCACATTCAGTTGTAGAATATCATAAACGTGAGATTCAGTTGAGTCTCTCGTGAAAACCGAATTGATTTGCAAATGAGTGTATTTCTCGAAAACAGTGCAATTTGGGTTCGAGTAGATCATAAGGTTGACGGAAACTCGGGGACTGCACCTTTCCTGATGAGCCCCAAGAAGGGCGAACCCGGTAGTGGGCTGTCAATGAATTTTCAGCAACCTTATGAGTGGCGCATTACATATATCAGTCATTACTGTTTGTTTTTCACCCGTTCTGAAATCGTTGATGACCCGAAGAGACGCATCATGCGGATTTGTAAATTACTCTCACTCGGTAACATGTCCAGAAGGTGTCTAGTCATTTCATTATGTTGGACAATATCTGTTTCATATTGAGGTAAACGGCCTGCTACAGTCATTTCTGACTATCCTAGCCATGTGACAGCTGCTAGGAATCTGCGTGATGGACGACACACATAACACCGATTCATTTCTTTTGGATCGTCTTTGTTATCTATCGTTGTTTGCCGAGTGTTCTGTTTGTTCAACTAGCGCACATAGCTTCTTTCGAAGCTGCAATTCTAGTCTTTTTTACAATGAAGAGCAAACCACAAGAAAGCACAAGAGCATTTAATTAAGACATTCTTGATGGTCTCGTCCTCTCTTCCCTTGTTCAACCTTATGCGTTACTGAATGTTACTAGCTACGCTAAGCCTTGTTTGACTGTTCGATATCGGCTGAAGACCCAAGACGGATAAAATACGAACCCGACAGCCAGAGACGTTAGCGCTGCCATGACATTCCACATAGGGTCGTAAGTTGCCAACTACAAAGCACACTCTTATTGCTGAAATTAATGATCGGGCGAATAGAAAAAGTAAGCATTTCGGTATTCTCGCACGCACGGCTTCAAACGTTTGAGCCTTCGGAAGCCGACTGAAGCTTAGTTGGACCCGAGGAACTGGCTTCTTCACATACAGGTTTCTTCCTTTGATGGGAATTCTGCTCTTTGTCCCTAAACATGTTGACAGTCCTTGGTGTTGGTCAAGCTGAGCGTCCTATTTCTGTCGCTGCTGTTCATATTTATCTTGCATCTTGCGAACTTATGTATGATTAAGGTCGCATCTTGCATAAAGTATCGCCAATTCATCTGGTCGTTTTTTTAGGTTTGTACTTTGATCTCAGTACTTCCTGCTGGTGTATGTAGTTTGGAAAAACTACCGCCCGTTTGAATTTGAAAAGTTCCTTTGAACGCATGGATCTCGCTTCCGAAGCGCATTTCCTTAGGTTGACATCGTATTTGTGCAGAATATTCTTCTTTTCGACTTGTACTGATGTTCTCCAACAAAAGGACTTCTTTTTTTAGATGTATTACGCTGTTCACAAAAAACCCTTCGACAGCCCATGATCGAATCCGCCCTCCTTGGGCCTCACCCCGGAGGCACGAACTACGATTTTCTTATCCACGCTATCTTCTATTCGAACTCAAATCGGACAATATTCGTCAGCTACTCTGTTTTTCACACTAATTTGGTTTGATTGAGAGGCCACCACAAGCCGTGGATTTAGCTAGATTCAGTTCAGTCTCCTGTAAAATCGAATTAATGTGTGAATGGGGGTAGTTTGTGAACTTGTTTTTTCTTTAACCGATCCCTTCAGCTTTACGGTCCAATGAAGATGTTCGACCTTCCACCCAATTCTGCTCAAGCGATAAAAAATCACTGTCCGTTTTGTTTCGCCGTTGATTGTCGCCGGGTCTTTCGATCGCTTGCTGAGTCTTAAATTATCATTCTGATCATAATGACACGTCGTTAGGTGGTTCAATCTCACTGTACTCAGTGATGTGACAAAACAGCTGCCTACTGCTCCGCGAGATGGCCCAAGTGATCAGACGGCGAACTTACTGACCCATAAAGTCCGTGGTTCGAACCCGACCTCTGCCTCTCGATTTCCCCTTTCTAGGCTTGGGCAACCCGGCAGTATCCCAGCCCTCGTGCAACCTTCGGGTGGCATAGCAGTTAGGCACCAGAAGGGTGTTACAGCTGAACGACTGCTGCGCCAGGTAAAACCTCTGTTCGGTCGTTCAGGTGTGTACAAACTTGTTCCTTGGCCGACTGATTTTCAACATGCTCACTGCATTCATTTGGTATCAACGCTGTCCGCATGCTTTTACAAAGCATTCTGGAACGATTGTCAGTCCTCTCGACACAACTCACCCTTTTTCGTAAGTAGCATTGTCTTATTTAATGAGATTTTTTTACATGCAGCCTAGTTTCGTATTGAGTATGTGTATATGTCGTATAGTGAATTATCCCCCAGATTCTATTCGCACGTTGTGGGATTAATTACTCATCAGCTGATCGTTTATATACAGCACGCCTTTCACGTGATGCAAACGCGGAACTCGTGATCCGTTCATTGATTTGAAAGCCTGTGACGAGCTTCGTTTGTCTATGCATCTTTTCAGCAAAAACTTAGTGCGGCCTACGCTCAACGGACCGGAAGACCATTGGTTACAGAAACCACTCGTGACAAACCGCGTGCATCTAGTCAAGTCGGATGTCCACCTCGTGGTTCTTCCCGAACGGTAAATTAGAATTTTCGTTCGTTTCCACTATTGTTCCTGCTTTGTGTCTTGTACAAAAGTGCCGTATGTGACGTGTTGATTCTTTGGAGTGATTCGATACCTCGCATATTGGTCGTTATTTTACGGACTATTTTTGAAGAATAAAGCGTCAACAGGTCGTAACGATTTTGGTAGTTTGTATAGACGTAACATACTACTCAGATGGCTTCGCCTCAATTGGAACTCGTTAGATAGGCTCAGTCCTCGAGCTTCCGTCAACCTTATGTCCTGCTTGAACCCAAACTTCACGCGATGTGACAAGTACCTTAGGACTAGTGTGTTGCTTCTGTATAATGTATCGCTGTACTCGAATATCGTACTAGCTGAAAAGTGAGGCACATTGAATTGAAGAGGAACGTCATAAGGGAGGGATTCAGCTGGGATTCAAATGGGTCCCCCGCAAAAACCAAATTTCTATGCGAATGAATGTGTTTGTCGGGTGTTAGTAATTTGTTTTTATTGAACAACTATCCGTTTTGTTCTAAAACTGACAATCGACCCTGCAGTGTCGAAACAGGAGGTCTTTTTTTGCTGAGAGGTCGAACTTGCTACCCGCATAACAGCGTGCACTATCTACCACCCTGGAGAGATATCCGTCGAAAATGTATTATCTGTCATTGTGTGCTTCGGTTGGCTGTTTTCATGCAAACACCTGGTTTCTTCTTTCATATATGTCGCCATTCAAAGTGGCCCATTTGTTTGACTCTTGGTAGAAAATGTCTGCTAGCAAGCATTTCACCTTCCAGCTTCACGGGTAAATGAAATCTTTCAACACTGACGGGTCTTGTCTGTTAAGGGCTAAGGATTACGGAGGCTTTAGAATTTTCTGCGGTGGATACCCGGTGTTTTCTGTTGTGATTACTTTCCTAATGGGGGAGTACTCGATCGAACGCCTCGGTCAAACTGAGCACAGCGGTGCAACGTCACTCATTCCCTCTGTCTAGACACATTCTCGGAAAGACGTCCACCGAACCGTTTCTGCATTGCATTCTCTGGCCGATGGTGTTAACTTGTTGAGTAATTCTCAGCATGGCTCCATGCAACCGAAGCTGATTTCGATAAGCTAAGCTTCTAACAAAACAATAGCATATGCCGATAGACCAACCAGGGGACCCACACATGCGTCGACTCCGCTTCAAATCGTCATGCGCGATATGTCGCGATTCCAGGCGCCCGTGAAACCGAATCGTCTGGAAACGGAGGTAGCCGCAGTAAACAAGGCAGTGACGCGCTTTTGGTACATGCCATGTGCGCAGCCTATGCTCGGATACTGTCCAAGACAAAATGGGTTCCATCCACGGGTTTTAAGGTAAATAAATCTCCTGAATCCAAAGTTGCAATGATTTGTTTGGGAATAAACGAGTTCACCTAGGGACTACAGGAAAAATCCTAAAAATGAGCACTTGTCTCGAGAACCGAGATGTCTTGAAGTTGTGAGTCATCCTTTCTTCGGATGTTTCGTAAATGGACTTTCAAATATCCAATCGTATCAAACGAGTCCATTTCTGTTTCAAGTAACCATGTTCTTCGAAGTCTGTAGGCCGTTGACATTTACATTATAATATAATCGCAATCTTTTCGGTGAGAATTCAACGCCGTAAATCCCTGTTCTTTCCCTAAACTTGATTGCCCCAGTGAGTGTGGAATGTGTTCTTCGATGAACTTACATTTTTCAACACGAGGCCCACGCTTAGTATCATCCAGAAATTGAGACTCTTTCCATTCGTGTTTTACAAATCAGTTAGGAGACTCAGTTAAATCAACTACGGCCATTCTTTCGAGTAGAAAATATTCCGCAAGACACCTGTGATTACACATTTCATGGCAAAATTTTAGTCTGAAGCTGCTGCTGATTATGGAATCGGTTTATGTAGCGAATTTCACTTTTTGGCCTCGCGTACCACGTCTAATTTCCCCAATTTCACTCGCACACATTGCAACCATCTGTGCAACCAATTTTCCAAGAGTGCAATGACTCCATTCTCTCCGGTCAGAATGCTATGCAAATGAGGTTTGATAATCCACAGAACTGCCTCCCGACGTTCTTTATTGACTCAACAGTTGTTTTCGCTGGAACAACCAGAGAACGAATCTCTTTCCGACTTTAATTGTCGGAAATCTTCCGATTACCTGGTGACAACCTGGCTTGAGTATGGTGATGTTTCTTTGTATCACCACAAGATTTGTTCCCTGATTCGAATAGTGAGCAGCTGTGTCTCTGTCCACAAATGTCTAGTTAAAAACCTCAGTGAAAACTCGGACTTCACTTCTGGTGCGTACACACGCACGCAAACACGTTTTCACGGGTTTTAAGCTCTAACTTTACACTATACTGTCCTGAGACCGCACGGTATGTTCCTACGAGCTTTCGACATCCGGCGACAATTTTGAACGTCGCGGGGGTTTGTTGTTGGCATTCCTTGTCGAACTGGAGAAAAGAGATTAAGTAGTCTATTGGAATCAAAACGCCTACCGCCAGGATGCTAGGTTTCAAGTAGCAGGCTCTTACCTAATTGGCCACATTATTCAGCTCGACACCCGGACGTTTAGTCTAATAAGTTCAGTGCTAATTGATCACGTGGCTATTCGCCGAGCTTAGCAATTAGCTTACAAACGTACCCTTCCTGGTCGAGAAGACATTGTCAGGGACGAGATGGCCCAAGTGGTTAGAGCGCGAATTTACTGACCGGAAGGTCCGTGGTTCGAACCCGACCTCTGCCTGTTGACTTCCCCTGTCTAGGCTTGGGCAACGTGGCAGTATCCCAGCCCTCGTGCTTCCTTCGGGTAGCTTGGCAGCTAGGCACCCGAAGGTGTTACAGCTGAGAGGCACTGTCAGTTCGCAGTTGAATGTGTACTGCCTGCTTTTCTGCCCGCATACATATGGCCTTCGAAAAGTATATAATATCCTCTCCCGTGGTCGGCTAATTGGTTTGTGTCTTTCTTGCAATCTCATTGACCCGTTCGCGTTTCGCACTGCGTTGTGATCTGTATGTCGCGTATTTGATTGGTTTGTTGGATAACTTCCTTTGGTCCGGTCTCCGACTGGTCCTTCTCCAGTTTGTGTTGCGTTGTCGTCTTTCTTTGGATTTGTTTGGTCGTTGTGGTGATTTCTATTTTTGGTTGTTTCATTTCTTCGGTCGGATTGGTCAGTTCCTAGTTTGTATCCTAGTCCCGTTTTAAGTTTGATTGACCGTTAGATGTGTTTTTTCTTTTCGGTGCTTTCAGATTTAGTTGTGTTTGAGCGGTCAGTTTGTTATCCTCATTTGTCGAGCCTTCCTCTATCCTTCGATTTATTAGTTTGCGTCTAGTCCCGGAAAGTGGACATATCCCCTGGATTTTTGGTTTGTCTGACCTTATCCCAATAGTTGTTAGCGCAGTATAATGGCTCGCGTACGTCACATCAAGTCTTGTTTTTGTATGGCCTGAACAGAACTTTTCTGCCCGCATACATATGGCCTTCGAAAAGTATATAATATCCTCTCCCGTGGTCGGCTAATTGGTTTGTGTCTTTCTTGTAATCTCATTGACCCGTTCGCGTTTCCCACTGCGTTTTGATCTCTATGTCGCGTATTTGATTGGTTTGTTGGATAACTTCCTTTGGTCCGGTCTCCGACTGGTCCTTCTCCAGTTTGTGGTGTGTTGTCGTCTTTCTTTGGATTTGTTTGGTCGTTGTGGTGATTTCTATTTTTGGTTGTTTCATTTCTTCGGTCTGATTGGTCAGTTCCTAGTTTGTATCCTAGTCCCGTTTTAAGTTTGATTGACGGTTAGATGTGTTTTTTCTTTTCGGTGCTTTCAGATTTAGTTGTGTTTGAGCGGTCAGTTCGTTATCCTCATTTGTCGAGCCTTCCTCTATCCTTCGATTTATTAGTTTGCGTCTAGTCCCGGAAAGTGGACATATCCCCTGGATTTTTGGTTTGTGTGACGTTATCCCAATAGTTCTTAGCGCAGTATAATGGCTCGCGTACGTCACATCAACAGTCTAGTCTCCTTGTTTTTGTATGGCCTGTTCAGAATTTCAGCCGACAATATTCTGATGAGATTGTTTGTGTTGTTTGAGTGTTGCGGCGCGCACTCACATTCCAATACCTGCTGCCACTACAATAAAACTGGTCGTTTTGCGGGCACATGGCACGTGGGGGTGCGGTAAAACCAGAGTTACGATCACAGTAAGAATCACGGAAAGGTTTCGTCGGTTTAAGAAGCGGTTTGAGCGTAGGAACAGCAATAAACAAGCCCTAACTGATGGTGACAGTCGAAACAATGGGAGGCTGCAGGTGCGAGGAAGTTTGCTGGAAAAACGGTCTCTTTCGAAGTCTTAGTAGCTATCACTGTACCGCGAATGGCATTGGGTCACGGGGGAGGCGTACGATGATGTCTGAAACTTCCTCATAGCTTGATAAGTTAGAATAACACGTATAGAGTGAAAGTACCCTTCGATATCTCTTCATCAGAATCGGATACTGTTGTAAGACGTAATAAGATCGATCGGATGCAAGACACTCTGAGTCAGTTAAGTTCAACGGCCAGAAGACAACCTTCTGATCACGGAAAATGGAAACCCACCATCACACACGATACTAGTGAAAGTGGGAAGTTGTTCGCTAGGAACTACGGATAAAGCGGATACAACTCGTTAGACACAGCCCATCTGTATAGAGTTTTTGAAAACTGAACATTCCTGAACGTCCTACCGGACGTTCGTGGAACACTGAAAGCGGTTCCGTAATTTTCGTAATCACCTTCACCTTCCATCGGATGCGGGAGCGGAGCTTGAACACCAGAACTTAGACTACTTGCAAGCTTCGTCAGTAGTATAAACCGTTACACTAGTATTACAAAAACAGATAGCTCACGTAAGAACCTCTGGATCCATTGAGTTTTACAAGTTGGGCAAGGCAGGGAGTATTATTCGAAAAGTAGTTAACTAGACTCGTCTAATTCTACAATTTGTGGCGGTAACTTCAGGAGAGTTACTGGGACCAAAGCGAGTTACCCAATCGTACGGTTCTGCGGTGGAATAACTAAAAATTAGTCCAACCCCAAAATCGACAGTAGTGCTCAACGGTCGGGGGCAGTTTCGATGTGTTTAAAAGAAAAAAGTCAGGCTGTGGTAGCCTATTTGATGGCGCGAAGCGCAAAACTGATCCTTACAGGAGCCCACCATTTGAGCACCACCATGCTGTTATAAAGGGACAACTCATCAAGAGTTACCAAAAAAGATTACGGATTACTAGTGACTGCAGTGAAACCTCTTAAACCAAAGTAGAATGACATGGAAAAT